ATACCTCGATCGCATAGAAATCCTGACACACTCTTCCACTTCATCCGCCATGTTCTGATTCTATGGGATACATCTTCATCTAACTCACCGCCCCTCTAAATTATGGAGCCCAAGTAACGAAACATATCGCTGACCGTTATCTCCTTACCATCCAGAGTAATTCCGCTATTACCACTGCTTCTACATCCACCAAACTTGCACTCCATGTACTCTGTCTTGCTCCGACTTAGTTTGAAACCCTTATTTGAATACTTCCATGTACTTTGTCGCCATACTTCCAACTTTGCTTTAAGATCTGATTGCGTCTCATCAATCAATACAATATCGTCAGTAAACATCATGTACCACGGTATATCGTCTTGAATTGACTTCGTAAGTTCATCCTTGACTATGGCAAATAAGAAATGGCTCAGAGCCGATCTTTGGTGCACTCCAATAGTAATAGGGAACTCTCTGGTCCTCCCTACACTAGTACGAATTGTAGTACAATCCCCATACATATCCATGATGATGCTGATATACTTGCGTGATATGACTTTTCTAGTTAAGGCTCACCAAAGAACTTCTCGAGGTACCCTATCATATGCCTTTTCTAAGTCAATGAACACCAAATGCAGATCCTTATGAGTGTCTCTATACTTCTCCATAAGTTGCCTAAGAAGGTGAATGGCATCAGTTGTTAAGCGAACAGGCATAAAATCGAATTGATTCTCTGAAATCTTCACTGTTCTTCGAAGTCTTTGCTCAATCACTCGCTCCCAAAGTTTCATGGTGTGACTCATAAGCTTAATCCCTCGATAGTTGGCACATTCTTGTACATCACCTTTATTCTTAAATAAGGGGATAAGAGTACTCTTCCTCCAACTTGTTGGCATCTTGTTGTTTCTCCAAATCATGTTGAAGAAACTTGTTAACCACTCCACGCCTCTCTCTCCCAAACTTTTCCAAGTCTCGATCAGTATGCCATCTGGACCCACTGCTTTCTTCCGCCCCATCTTCCTCAGAGCTTCTTTAACTTCCGTTGTTTGGATCCTTCTCACAAAATCACGATTTACCATACAATCTGGTATGAACAAATCACTGATATCTTGCGTTTTGTTCCCGTTGAATAGTGTATCAAAGTATGACTTCCACCTCTCTTTTATATCTCCGTCGTCCATTAATATCCTCTGATCGACATCCTTCACGCACTTAACTTTTGCAATATCCTGAGTACTGCGATCACGAAGACGAGCAAGTCTATAATTATGGGCAACCATAGACTGGTTGAATTGAATTGGAGGAGGAGAAACGATGAAATTTTATGTCTGCTAAGGAGCAGGGATTGGGAGAAATGGAAGAGGAGAATGAAAATGTTAAAGAAACGATGGATGTGCGGACAATCGGGATGCAGCGTGTAACCGGCGGGATTACTGTAGAATGAACAGTACTGTAGAATGAACCGTGATTTTATGTATTACTTTTATGTATATATATACACACGCGCGCGCACACACACACACATATTATATATATATATATATATATATATATATATATATATATATATATATATATATATATATATATTATTGATCTTGTGCGTAACAATTATTTGTGATAAACACCATTCGAAAAAAATTTATATCGGTTTTGTCTAATGTAATCTCTTTGTCACGCCACTAGCTAGTAGAATTCAAAGCAATCAACATTCATTGAAAACATAATTTATACTACGTGTATGTTTAATTTCATATTGGAGTATGTGTTTGTCAATTTCAATAGAAAAAAGTTTCATCTTTTTACATATCTCAAATAAGATAAGTTTGTGTTTTACACTTACGCTTACATTTTTTTTATCCCGGAAGGCAAACCACCAAAATCAGTCGGGAGTCAGATATCAGAATTTTATTAAAGCAAAAGGCAATACAAAAAACGAGGGGGACTAGACCAAGACCTCGTTAAAACAAAAATTACACTATATTAATGAAATCGTAAAGAAGCAATGCCAAAAAGATCCATGAAATAGGCCCGCTTAGCCATTGTTGGTAAGGTTTCCGGACTAGAATATTCCTGCATTGAGCCCGAATGAATTTGGGCTAAGAAATGGGCGGTCCCATTTACTTCGCGATAAGCATGTCGATAGGAGATGCCTTTCCTTTTCGATATCAGCGCGGTTTGCTGAATTAGGACATCCCACCTGCGACCATCAAGATTCTGGATTAAGCTCACTGCCATGGCCGAATCCGTTTCTACCTCAAAATCGCTGAAATCAGCATCAGTCGCCCACCTTATTGCTTGATAAATGGCCTTTAGCTCCGCTTCAAGTGCTGAGGAAGCGTCAAGGTCGAAACTTACTGCACGAAGAAGATGGCCATTTTTGCTCCTAAGAATCGCTCCACCCGATGCCATACCAGATAAGTATCGAGCATCAGTATTCAATTTTATCAAATCTTTCGGTTTACACCATCTTAAAATTTGTATATTGAATCTGCTGCCATGATAATCCTTTCGAATAAGATGCTCATCAAACCGTGGTAACATTTTCGCCGCTAACACCTTTAAACCGCCTCTTATTTCTTCTATATTTTCCAATATACAAATAAATATCGAGGTATTTCAAATATATCCATAATTACTTCATTAATATTGTTCTTTTCAATGTAAAAATTAGAATATTAATTGTTCATCATTTTACTAATACTCAGTTAAATGCGTTAGTAAAACTTTGAATTTCATTGTATTTATTGTAGGGCATTTTCAAAATTTAATAAATAGAAGACATAGAATATTTCATCCGTCACAATAAATAGAACATTTTAAAATATAAGGCATGACTCGTAGATATGCTCAATCTGATTCTGTATGACTCGTAGTCGTAGACATGATCTATTCTAGTTCATTTCGGTTTTGTCTAGTCTAGCCCGTGTAGTTGATATATATTTGTATGCTCTAATTGAAATGATGTAGTCTGGTCATATCTAACACTAATTTATTTATGTAAAATTTCCATTCATAGCTATGTTATTTATTTCTCATATCTTTATATAAATAAGAACGTAATCATCCGCAACGTATCTGTTTCGCTTGGAAATATATTTGGCTATGTGGCCAATAAACAAAATTAGGTACCTGAAAACCTTAGAACAAACGTGTGAAACAAAACTGTGAGGTTGAAATTTGTTTTTGGCATGTGAATTAAGAAAATAAAATAGCAGGATCAGGATGATAGCATAAGAGATGAAAGAAATAACATTACTTATGTATTTTTTACTTAGAAAAATCAGGTAACTTGACTGGGGGCCTGAAATGGTATATGCTGAAGCACAGTAATGATTTGATTATTTCAATTCAAATGTTTTAACCGTTGAGCACTGAATTAAAAAAACACATGTTATGTCAAAAAACATAAATGTGAAGCAAAACATAATATCTGGGGAGGCACATGCACAAGAGTTCAAAGTACAACAATCAAAACCAAGATCGCTCCATTTATAAGCCAAAAGATGTGAGCATTCAGCCAAATGTCATTTCTAGTGAAGGAGAATGATTACCATCCTGGAGGATAGATCGTTCAAATTTGGACCCCCTGAATATGACATAGTGCTTGAGTGATAGTCCAAAAGTAACTTTAGGTGCTCCAAATTGATCCTAGAAACAATTTTTAGAAGTTGGTCATCCAATTCTGCTTTTAATTTTAAAACAGAAATAGAAGTAAATTCAATTTCAAACACTCCTAACTCGAATTCCATCCATTCTACTTTAACCAATTATAAGTATGTGTTTGTAGTTTTTTTGCACACTAAGAACCCAAAGAACTTTTGTAACATAAAGAGAAAGTAGCATAATATGACTAGAATACCCTTATTTATGTTTTAAAGTGGTATGTACTCCCATCGTCTCAGTTTCTCATCTTTTTCCTTCGTGTCTATCCCACTAAGTTTCCCCCTGCAATATTAGGCAATATTTGTATGGTTCGAGTTCACTCATTCTTTAGCAGCCACAAAATCCTATAATTTTAATATTCCACTTTCTCATTTCTCAAAGATAGTGGAATGAATGTATCAGTAGCATTTTGAATGAAGAATGACGGAAAGGATTGTTTGACGATCTTTTAATAATGTCCTAAAGCGAATGATATTAGAGAACAACTTTTCTCTCTCTAAAGAGACGCATGAAAGAGAATAAAGAGAGTAACTTTGCCTTGATAAGAGACCAAATTGTCTCCAAATTCTCATCTTTAGAAGAAACTTTTGGATTATCTTGCAAAGTATACTTATAATGGTAAACTTTTATCTTCCACAGTATATGATTTACCGAGGGTTAAAGCCACACCAAGGGTGTGGATGGCTTTTATTTGGAAATCATATATATCGCCAAAGTTCTCTTTCATTGCATGGCTTGCATTTAGAAATAGATTGGCCACATATGACAACTTGTGTTTCCTTGACTTGGTTAACCTGTGTCCATTTTGTAAGGGTGGTCCAGAAACACCTATTTTTTAATGTTGTTTTACAGGTCAACTTTGGTGGAAGGTCAAGCAATGGTTAGGACTAACAAGGGGTGTGACCACTTTGAGAAGCTCGATCAAATGTATAAAGGACCAAAATGGAGCAAACATAAAAGCCAAGGCCGTGAGGATATCTTTTTGCTATGCTATATATTGGATTTGGAGAACTCGGAACTTTATTCGGTTTGATGGAGCAAAGGCGAATTTGGAAGAAGTTTTGTCACAAACCAAGTTTATGGTGTATGAATTTTTTTATTCTCTATACACATTCCATATGATAAACTTTTGAAACTCATTGGGGCTATTTTCAGTTTTCACCCATCTTTTGTCATGGCTTGATGGCTGATTTTTTGAGGTGGATGGCTAACTTAGATGGTTAGTTATCTATTAGAGGTGATAGAGCATCCTTACTTTGGATTGCCTATAATTTTGCCGCCTTTTGTTCATATGATGTACATAAACATTCTTGGATGATTCTATATATATTTACATTTCATCCACACACAAAAAAGGAGTAACTTTTAACTAGTTACAACATTAATTTGTTCCGAAAACCCTTGCTTGAAGGGGAAAACATGTCACTATATATACATTTAAAGAGGGGTAACATTGTACTCTGAAATGTCAATGGTAACACTTTGTTTTGCACTAAGCTATGTGGCTAATTGCTCACACATACAGGAAATTGTATCACAAAGATTAAGCAAATACAATCCAAGAACTGTTAAATGGATTGGCACATTTCAAGGAATAAATCCTCCACTCAAAAGTAAAGGTTAAGCTAATGCAGCTCCAAAAATTGAAATGAATTGGCACATCTTGACAGGAAAAATCCTCCACTCAAAAATAAAAAGACTACAGAGACAGACTGCGATGACCTGAAATAAAAGTTACCACTCAAGCTTGTGGCATATCCCTATAAACTTCATGAAGACAATGGCATGCCAAACCCCTGCTTGCACATCACCCCCACAACTTGCTCAAGTTTACGGTTTTCTCCCCATCTAAAATATGCATGATACAATATCCATAGTGTTCTCTTTGTCCAGTCAAGGTTCACTTTCTCCATCTCATCTAGAACATTTTCCATTTCAACAAGCCTCCTATTTGAAGAATACATAACCATCTTACAGTGATATAGAGATCTGCAAATTTTCCAACCACCACACTCTGCACGTTTGACAAAATTAGACAGCTTGTCCATTGTACTATTCCTGTAGTAACAACAAATTATTCTTTTCATCACATTAGTTGTCATTATTATAGTGTTATGATCAAATGCCTCATTGATTGAAGTTTCCATCTCTTCTAATAGGTCTTCTTTTGCGTATAAAAGTATAAGTTGGGCATTCAACCAAGGACGGTATTCATTTTCCGGAATCAGCTTCAGCAATTCCTTAACCTTGCGGACTTTGTTCATATCAGAACTTTTACAGTAAGCAATAATCATTGTTCTGATCAATGCGATTTCATTGTGATCAACGTGATCTTTGACCAACTCATAAGTTTCCTCCATCTTCTCCAAGCTGCCTGCATGAGCATATCCACGCATCATAAGTAAAAATGTAGATAGGTTAGGCTTTATGATGTCTTCTTGCATTATTTCGAAAGTCTTCTCCATACAATCCCATTTCCATGCGGTAAGATACCCAGCAATTAAATAGTTATATGTAGTCACATTAGGACATATATTTAGATCTTTAACCTCTCGAAAGGTTTCTTCCATGTGATCTACCAGCAATAACCGCCCAAACACAGAAATAAGAATGTTATATGTTACTATCGTTGGAGAACAGCTTGCTTCCTTCTTCATGTCTTCAAATAAAGATTGGCATTTCACAGCCAAACCATTATACATGTATGCACCCATGAGTGCATTATAGATGGATGCTGTTTTTACTCGCTTGTTTGAAGCTTCGCTGAAGATCTGTGCAGCAAGATCAACATTTTGCAACCTACCTGCCATACAAATGCCCTTGGAATACTCCTCTGCTACTATAGGAATGACATAGTCTATTTCTCTTCTCCATTTGAAAACCTATAGATGATAAATTGCCTCTAGTAAATGTTGAAACAAAAGTAAAAAAATCACTCCTTGGTCATCTTGTTTCGTAAATATACTCTGCTTTGCATTAGAACAACAACTGGGAAATTGAGATATCAAAAAGGAGAGAGTAAAAGCACCTCAATGGCTAACTGAGGGGTCGAACCTAGCTGCCTCATGAGCTCAACAACTGCAACACCATCCTGGTACTTTCGAAACAATGGATTTCCTTTCTCTTCCAATAATTTATGGAGGATTTCAACATCGCCGCTGTGCATCACTAGCTCATCCCTCAACTCCGAGACCTTATCTCTTAGATCATTCATGAGTAATGAATCGCCATAGCTCCTATTTCCTGCGAACAGACCAACGATATTCGACCATACGTTTCGAGATGACGATGAAGAGGCACAGTACGATTGCGCCGCTGCTCCAAAAGGAGATGAAATCGCAGAGGGTTTTGTAAGAATTCCAAGGAATTTGTGAAAGAGCAATTCATGGTGTGAGACTCTTAACATCCGCTTCATAGTTGAAGAATTGCGAGGAACATTGACGATAGGAAATGAGTAATAGGGTTTCTTGAAGCTATTTTATTCCATCTGCAAATCAGTGGTTGGTTCCAAAACAAGTCGGCTGTAAAATGTTTAATTTTGAAGGCTTCCCTGAAAATTTGAGTGACAATTGGGGGATGAAATAAAGAAATTAAAGTACTTAAGTACTAGTAGTAACATACTAATTAAATGTACAGTTAGTGTTATTCCAAAAATTAATTATATTCAAAATTCACACAAAAATTGATGACGACAAACAGAGGAAACTGATCAGTTTAATTGCTTAGAGCAAAGGACAATAAGGATTACCCATAAAACCAACAGTTGTGTTTAGATTTTTTGTTCACCAACTTCCTTTATTCAAAGATGTTTACCTCTCCAAAATAAAAAATGTTAGCCATGGCAGATTAACTTGCCGCTAAAAAGCCTAATAATGATATATTGATGATCATGTACATCTCTAAAACATTATATCTATGATAAATATAACATAATACTTAGCCTAATCTCCAGATTTTGTACAAAAATACTCATTTATACTTTATCTTATGTTTTGCGTGTAGATATCTGAGATATTGGTGATAATTATGCATGCATAGACCCATTATGGTGCATTATTTGGTTCGAAAAGAGGATTTAGTCTACTTCCATGAAAGCATCCAAAATATTCTTTGTGTTGTTTCAATATAGCGATGAACAGAAAATTTATCAACTCAAATCACACAAACAACAAAAGTAGGGAGAAGAGAATGTATTTGGTGACATAGTAGATTCACTCATTTAAATCTATTGCAAATGTATTTTTGTTTTTAGATCGTTAAAAATACATTATTGATCTAATTTTATAAATAAATGTTGACTTCTTCGTACATTTTTAAAAGAGCAATGTGATTTATAGTACAAGATTTTAAATTAATCCTGATTGTTTCTTTCTTATGATTAAATAGACATATGTTGAATAAACATACAAATGTCGTTGTATTTGGGAATGATAAATACATACGGAGTATATTAGTTGGTGTTTTGAGAACAAAAATAGTACGGAGTATGTGCCGAGGGGACAACTTTCAAAACTGACTATGTATGTGCCGAGGGGACAACTTTCAAAACTGAGGCGCTTTCTGTGCCACCCCCCAAGGGGAGGCAGGCAATGAACTATGTCTCGTGCCAAGGAAACAACCCTCGATCCCCTCGGAATTCGGGAGGTTAATCCCGAGGGGAGCCAATGATGTATACTGTTGCCTCCCGATAGGCCAAGTCTTACCAAGAAACCAAGTTTCTTGAAGCCTTCTCTTCACTGCCAAAAAAATGGAGTGAAGGGGAGTAGACTCAACGAGCAATTGACGAGTACAAACTCCAATAAAACAACTTTCGGCAGCTACCAAGAATGCTCCTCACAAGACATTCCAGACAATACCGAAGGCTTCCCTAGGGAACACTGGTGTGTAGCATATAATGAGCACACAACTATTTTTTTACCCAAGGAAGTAGGGTGTCGAACCACAGAGAAGCGGGAAATAAAATAATTAAGCACAAATTAAGGATTAAAGTTGGGAATGCGTTTCTTTTGATTTTTGTTTGCTTGGAAAAGTAATTAAATAAAAGTGATTGAGAGAAGAGATTTTTATCAACACAAAGTTCAACCAATAGCAAGTAGGGGTAGAAATTGACAACTAATTGTTCAATGCTCATTTGTAAGACATAATTGCTAATTTTATTCTTAGATAGATTGTGAGAAGTTGTAGATAAATATTTTAGGACCCAACACAAGTCACCTAAAATAAGTAACTAGTCAACATTTCCCAGTGATAGCCAAAACGAGACTAGTTGTTTAAGTGCAACGACAACCTTAATTATTATTAACTATATTATTTACCCAACCCCGTGGTGTAAATAATATAATTAAATAATTAAATTCTCTCGTAAAACTTCAATCCGGGACAAGGTAAAAGAAGTTTAACGGTGTGTTCAGAAAGTGTTCATTTGTGTATTTAACAAACAATATGTTTATGATTGAGTACTCATAATATATATCACAAACACAACATAATTAATTTTCTGGACACAACAATCTAAATAGAACAAACTTAACAATTAAAATCAATACAAATTAAAACATGATAAGAACAATTAATTAACCAATTTCTAGCCCCAAATTTATTTAGCTATACATGTTGGGAAAGATAGAAATAGATGAATCCATGATTAAAGTACAAGATTTAATGAGATAAGAAAGATCAAACTTGTGATAGATGACAATCCTTGGAACTTTGATGCTAATCTTGACTTAATCTTTGATGAGAAAGTGATTAGTTATGGTTGAAGATGGGTTGATGATTTGGGGTTGAGAAATGAAGAGAGAAGGAGGAGGAAATGTTTCTGGGATATTTAGAGAGAAGTTGGTCCGAGCTTATGTGTGGAGGAAGATGGATTAAGATAATATAATGATAAGGTGATTAATCATTAATTCCTGGAATTTACGGAACGTGACGAGTTTATGTACAGAAACACGCAATGATGTTCCAACAACACATAGTAGTGCAGTGGTTACAAGGGACCTTTTGTGACTCTGAGGTCGCGGGTTCAAAACCTAGCCACTTCTTTTTGTTCCATTTTTCACTGCTGGGCTGAAGTAATATATAAGAATTGCCAACAAAAAAATTCAACTTGGTTCATTTAGCTCACTGGTCAAGGGTTTCCTTCTTTGACCAAATTACTAGTGTTCGAATCTCAACCTCATCTTTATTAGTTTTTGCTACTTTTCTCCAATTTTTTCCTTATTTGCTTTGAAGGAAATTCCATTTTTGTTATTCTCCAACTTGAACTTTTGTTTTCTTCTTTAATTTATGCACATATGATCCAAATATCATCAAAAGTACCTGAAAATACAAAATACACGCATAACATCGCACTAATACAAATTAACGACAAATAATAAAAATATGTACAGAAGTACAACTTTAATAACTAATATTATCAACAAACTAGATCTAAAAAGTGTGTAAAATATAAGCATATCAAACACCTCTGGCACCTGAAAGCTATTCAACAAGTGTTACCAAAATATGACTAAGTCCACAACCTGGGATGAATTTGGTTAAGTCCACATTACCTGAAGGCTCCCAAACCCTACTGTTGGGATGAATTTGGTTAAGTCCACATGATCTGGAGTTTCAAGAAATACCGAAGGCATCTTTTAAATGTCCACATTTCCGTGGCCAAGCTTTGAAGGCTCTTGCTATACAGCACTCTCCATCGCAAACATGGGCTTAAATTTTCTGAAGTCCACACTCCGGTAGCCTCCGGTACTACAATCAACACCGGGGGCTCCCTGTCTGCAAACAGGTTCAAAGTCAACTACCAATGGCCATCAGTTGTAAACTCAATGGGGAATTTTTTCAGTGTCCACGACACCAGTTCCCCCAGGAACATATCACGAATGCTAGATACTCCATACGGCTGATGGGGCATATCAGCTGACGGCTCTAGGGCAAAGCACTATTTGAAAAATTCCCAAGTCCCATAACTCATGCCTCCATTAACCGAAGGTTCAGTGGTAAACCGAAGGCTCAGTGGTGACAAACTCAGGCCTCCATCAACATACAACCGAAGGCTCAGTGGTAAAACTACACTTGAAAAACGTCTATCCTGAATCTTAGGCCTTCGGTCAACTCGTGACTAAAAGGAGACATAAGTCGAGGGCACAGAAATGACCATAGCTCAGGAATTTTTCTAAGTCCTGAACTATTGGCCCCCGGCCACCAACGAAGAAGGGCCTACAACTCAGACAGCAGAAGGCATACGAAAGGGATCTCAACCAAATGCCATATTGTAAGCAACACTTAGAAAAATATTCTAAGTCCTAAAATTTCGGACCTCGGTCAAATCATCATGCAGCCAAAGAGGTCGATTAACCGAAGGCCAGGAGATAAAAACAACACTTAGAAAATTTTCCAAGTCCTAAATTTTTGGCCCTCAGTCAACTCATGACAGATACACAAGTTCAGAAGGAAGCATCAACTGAGGGTCTAGCGCTGAACAGACACTTAGAAAAATTTTCTAAGTCCTAAATGACTAACAACTCAAACATCAAAATATGAATGCATTCATTCACGACAAAAGTGCGAAGGCATTCATTTCACAAGAACAAAATGAAGGCATTCATTCAAGAGGAAAAGAAAACAGGGGAAATGAAAGTATTCATTAATCATGAAAGCATAAGAAACAAATTCAAACGTCAAACCCGAAGGCATCCATACATTCAATCACGAAAGATAAAAAGAGGAGTAAGTTGTTACATCAGGGCCGAAGCCGATATCTACTAAATGTTTGTTACGAAAGCACATAAAAAAATTTGTTTAAGTACAATTATGGGTTATCTAAAGCTCTGACAGCGCCCCCTTCAACAGCTTTGGAAGTGACATCTCCGCCAGCATCCTCCTCAGCTCCACCTTCGTCAGACCCCCCCCCCCATCATCACGGAATCTTCAATCACTGACCTCTCTTCGCCGGGGGGGGGGGGGGGGGGGGGTACTCTCACATCTGGCTGCAGGGGAAAGACCGTACACCGCCAGGTCAAATTGCTCAAGGAGGATGCCGAAGTGCCTGGCGAGCCTCCGGTAAATCAGATGCTGGGTGAAAAATTCACCCCCTTGATAAAAAGAAATCGCCCCTCTCGGCTAGACACATCTTCCCGGGGCCTTCGACCCAGACGTCAACGCTTTTCTCCACCACCGAGGAAACCCAGTCCTTCCTCCCCTCAGCGGTCCAGCCCTCAGTGACAAAGTTCTCGACTGCAGACTTCTCGGCAGCAGCCACCGCTTCAGCCTTGGCCTTCTCTGCCTCCTCAGCAGCTTTCTTCACGGCCTCGGCAACAACCCTCTCAGCTTCAGCCTTGGCCTCCTCCACGGCAGATTTCAATCTCTGGTCAGCGCCCTTGGAAGCCTGCCGGAGGGTCTCCTCCAGCCTACACATCTCCCTGAGGACAACATCCTTGTCGCGGATGAGCTTATTCATGGACTCCTCCTGCTGGGCCTTCTGGAGGCGCCACTCCTCAAGCCTCCGGGTCTGTTCCCCGAGGGCTATGCAAGCCTGTAAACAACAAGCAAACA